TGATGCTAATTAGAGAATTCAGCTCTACCTATTGTAAACATATGTTTTACATTCAAAACGCTGGTAACCGCCCTGTGCTCGACCCTAATGTCCTAACATCGGATACAATTAAGCTTCTAGCTGAAGCGAGGATTAGGGTAAAAATTACCGTAAATAACACAATACATGACACATATCTACTTAAAGATGAAGCGAAACATGAGTTAACATGTATTAAGTCATTGAACGCGCAGATTATGAATGTGAAGGCCTATCAGCCAGTGATTCAAGAGATGCTTTATTCGCAATTTTTTGAATTAAAATACGAGTTAAACAAACATAAAGAGAAAATAATTAAGCATTTGAATGACTCAAATAATGTTGACCAGAAAATAATGCTTAAAAACGAGTTAAAAAGAGTCGAAATATTATTGTGGAGAGTCGATGATATGGAGTTACAAGTGCTGTATTGGGGTTTTACCGGCGATTACTTGTTTGGTTACTGTGGTTTGGGCAGTGGAGATGGTTATGGTAAACATAATATGGAGCGATATGAAAAACAAAATAATAATGATGATAAATAAAATTTATTTCGTTTATTATTATGACTCATACTTAATGAGTATTCTTTGCTGTATAAAAACATATAAAATAAAGTAATTTATTATGTGAATTCACAATTGACATTTTATTATTTTTATTTTATGATAATAAATTTTTTAAAAACTTTCCATATATAAATAAGGAAATTATTGCAATAAATTCAAGATTATTTGAGTACATTTAAATAAAAATCAATTATAGATTTCATTGCATTTTTATCTGTAAAGTAAACATATTTATTTCTAGAGTTATTTCTATAAAAATTTCTAATTAAAATAAAACCTAAATTGAATTGTGATAATAATCTGATTAATTGTGATAATTATTTTAATTGTTTGATAAAACACATTAATTAATATGAATATGTTTAGAATTTATTTAATAATTATGATATATGGGTGTAGTCTGTACGCATCACGCAACACCCCTGGTGAATCTACCAATAAAACTTTAACTACCAGTCCTGTAAACTTTACAACTATATCTCCAACTGAATTGGACAATATTCCAGGTAAAATTTACTTCATTAAAAATGTTAATTAATAAATTTATGAGTAAGTAAAATGAATGTTATCAAGGTGTTAATAATGAGCGACAGCAAAATTCAGAGCATAATATACTAACTGATATACAAAACGGCATTCGGGAGACAATCAACAAAGCCATGAATCAAATGGAAGACATCAAGAATAAGACCGACAAAACAGTGTTCACTATTAACACATTGGAGGACGAGTTGTCTCAACACAAATCAAATCTACAAAACTTAGAGACAAAGTTTGAAAACGTAAAGGAAATTGCATTTTTATCTGTAAAGTAAACATATTTATTTCTAGAGTTATTTCTATAAAAATTTCTAATTAAAATAAAACCTAAATTGAATTGTGATAATAATCTGATTAATTGTGATAATTATTTTAATTATTTGTTAAAACACATTAATTAATATGAATATGTTTAGAATCTATTTAATAATTATGATATATGGGTGTAAACTGTACGAATCACGCAACATCCCTGGTGAATTTACCAATAAAACTTTAACTACCAGTCCTGTGAACTTTACAACTATATCTCCAACTGAATTGGACAAAATTCCAGGTAAAATTTACTTCATTAAAAATGTTAATTAATAAATTAATGAGTAAGTAAAATGAATATTATCAAGGTGATAATAATGAGCGACAGCAAAATTCGGAGCATAATATACTAACCGATATACAAAACGGCATTCGGGAGACAATCAACAAAGCCATGGATCAAATGGAAGACATCAAGAATAAGACCGACAAAACAGTGTTCACTATTAACACATTGGAGGACGAGTTGTCTCAACACAAATCAAATCTACAAAACTTAGAGACAAAGTTTGAAAACGTAAAGGA